CCCCCCCCCCCCGCCCGGGCTGAACCACGGACCCCACAGCAACTGAGCCTGCAGAGGGAACCATGGACCAGGTTTACCCCGGTTTGCTTGAAGGACCAGGGAGATCTTGGTGAACTTCAGCCTCAGAGCCCCGCCGTGGGGATGCCCCAGCTGCTAGCGGAGCCCTCCCCCTCCTGTGTGTGAGAACTCTGGACCCGCCGTCGCCTGGGGAAGGAGAAAGGAGCCCACCAGGAAATGCAATAGCAAAGGGCCTGGGCTGCTCAGCCTGACTCGTCTCCAATCATGGACCAGACTGCTTCCATCCAGGCAGGGGGCCTGGCAGGGGAGGGGAGGAAAGGAGATCTGTCTCCCTCTTGACGCTTCCCCCTCCCCCCCCCCCCGACGACGGGTGAAAAGGGAGCCAAAGGGATCTGCTAGCAGACTCAAAGCCGAGTGAGATTGCTTGGATTGTCTTCCCTGGAGAGTGGTTTGTGGGTTTGGGGTGGAAGATGGAGAAGGGAGGCCAAAAGATGGATTTGGGGTGGGAAAGCGAGCGGAGAGAGAGAGAGCAGGATTTTGTGGGGGGGGGTCTCCGGTTGCTTGTCAGCCCGCAAGGACCCTTCCTTTCTTCCACCCACCCACCCTTCAGTGTTGGGGAGAATACTTTCAGCTCCCTTCCCCAAGGCGAGGGTGGGAGCCAGACCAGTCGGCCAGATGAAAAAGTTGCAGGGCTGGCCTCGGTCCCCTCTCTGCAGCTGTGGGTTCAGGGAGCCCCAAAGGGAAGGGCTGGAAGCCTTGAGCGGGGGTGGGGGGGGGGGGGGGGGGAGGAGGGCAGGGTGAGCAGGCAGGCCTTGTCCCCCGGGCGGAATTAAGTTACGCCCCCCCCCCCCCCCCCCCGAGGGTTGCAAAACAAGCAAGGAGGGTGTGACCTGTTACGGGACAGGGGATGGAATGAAACACTGAGGGCGAGGAGGGGGTTCAGTGGCTGCTGCCTATATCCAGTATAACAGGGAAGCGGGGCCATTGGCAAATCCCGGAGAACAACTGGGGAGGGTCTTTCGGGGAGGAGAGGAAACCAGGAAGAAGGGGAAACCGTTGCCCCTTCCGGGACGCGGGTTTGAGAGGGGTACGGGGGTGCTGATTCAAGGAGGGCCAGACCGATTCGTGGGGTGGCAAGCCTTGCGGTTCCTTGAAATATTCCATGCACTTCTCTTCTGCCTTGGATTTTTCTCCCCCCACCCACCCCGGATGGTGGGTGACCCTGAGGGCTTTCTTTCCTCTTTCTAGACGCCCCTTCTTGGGGGTGGAAGGAGAAAAGAGAGTTTTGATCTTGGGGAGGTAATGAGGAGTGAAGAGACGTTATCCAGTCCGTGTTCCCAAGACCTTCCTGCTTTTAATAAAAACCCTCAAAAATTCATCTCCCACCCCACACAAACGTGGTGCCTTTTCCTCAGTCTTTGTAGCAGGGCTGTGTGTATGTGTATATGTATCTCCACGATCACTTCTGTCCTTTCGGGAGCTCTTTTTAAGGCAATGTTTCTCAAACTTGATATCTTGAAGTCCCATGACCTTCAACTCCCAGAATTCCTCAGCCAGCACAGGGCAACTCGGGGCGGGGGTTGAAGTCCACATGGCTTCTATTTGCAATGTTTTTTCCCCCCCCTCAAACCGGGCATGTACTTCTGGCTTCTGCCCAAAAAAACAAACAAAAAACCCCTCCCTAGTGAACGATGGGTTTGTTTAACAAGCACAGTGTTTGCTTTACGACTGCTGCAGTTGAAGTAATTGTCAAGAACAGAGAAATTGGGTGTGGTCACATGATAACCTTAATGACCATCGCAACTTACAACCGTAATTGCAGGCTCAATTGCAGTTGGACGTCGAGGACTATATCTATATAGTCAAGACACAATATAGTACAATAAAATTAATTCAGTGTTGGGAACAAACAGCAAACTGCAATAAATCAAAGGTGGCTGTGCTAAATCTTGGGGCGATCTGATGATACACAGGCACTTGCCATTTGTCAAGCCGTAACTTGGAATATTCCAAATAATACCCGTAGTTATTTTGAAGAAAAGCATGATTTGGATTCAACAGATCTAATGTGGCTCCTGAGATTTTGTCCTAATGGAAGGTGATCTTTTTCAGCTAGATGCCTTTTGTTGAAGTGGAAAGAAATCCTGTTTTTAAAACTTCTTATTCAGGAGCAGTATAGCCTGTGCTCAAGACGGTAGAACTAAATCTGTGATCTCAGGACCATCCATGAAGACATTGCAAATGGTCCTAGGGTGGGCCCCCAAATAAAAAAAGATGAACAAAAGAGTCCAAAATCTCACAAGACTGTCTTCTACCCAAAATTGCGAGAGATTTTGGTTGGAACACTAAAGCCTCTTGAGATTTGATGATCCTACAAGATTCAGTCAACATTTTTTTAAAAAATTAAGTAATTTTAGTATCCTGTTTTGTTGGTGTTTCTCAGAAGATGCCAATAGCATGTAGACTTATATACCGCTTTACATTGCTTTACAGCCCTCTCTAAGTGGTTTACAGTCAGCATATTGCCCTCAACAATCTGGGTTTTATCGACCTTGGAAGGATGGAAGGCTGAGTCAACTTTGAGGCAGTCAGGATCGAACTTCTGGCAGTCAGCAGAGTTAGCCTGCAATATTGCACTCTTAACAATTGTGCTAACTATAGAAAATTTGAGAATTGCTTTAGTACATCATAACTCATAGTTTACAAACTACCGTGAAAAAGCCCAAATCAAGTAAATTTCATTAGATTTTTAACATAACCAGCACATTATGCACTTGATTTGACTTAAACACATACCATAACATAAATGCAGTTATTGTGGTTTGTTAACTGGTTTGTGGTTTGTTGTGTGAATACAACCTCTATTCTTAGGCTATTTATGTGCTATATGTGACTAATTATAGTACCGGATGTAGCATTAGCCAAGACATCCTATTGGATTATGGGAGTTGAAGTCTTGCACACCAAAAAGGTACATCTTGAGAAGAATAATGTAGACAATTGCTTGCAGTTGAAGAGAACAGTTGCAAATCACTATCTAAAATAACCTTTATCTGGTGATTTAAAATACTAGGACTACAACGTCAAGAATTCCCAACAAACCCAGCAATAACAATTCTATGGTTAATAATAACATGACTAATGCAATCTTGTTGTTAAATCCAGCAAATTTATTTATTTACTTGTATTTCTAATTTCCATTTTTATGGCTGCTCACTCACACTTGGCTTTAGGCAGTTTAAAAGAGTTAAAAACAATGTTAAAATAGAACAAAAACAGCCCACCAAGGTAACAAGCCCATCACAACTCAAAGGATGTTTGCTTTCATAATTCATAGGCATAAATTGACTTCTTGGTCTCTCTCTCTCTCAAATGATTTAGTAAGTCTAAAAAACTAGTAACAATGAATTCTAGTGTGACTGGGAAAAAACAGGAACGGGGAAAGTTCCTGATTAAAATTCAGTGTTCAATAACCAATAAAAATATGCATAAAAGATAGATCTTAGTAAGAATGGAGTCCTTTCAAACCCAAAGAAGGAATGTAGCCATTGGGATTTTTGTGAATTGTAATCCCACCCATCCTTCTGGAAGGCACTGAGGAGGCCAGAGGTCTGAACTGCCTCTTAGCACAACATAGTCAGTTTATACAACTCACCAGAAAGGAATTTGAAAAAGATGGGAAAGAGGCATGGATACCTCACGTGAATAGCATGTGTACGTTTCAGCAAGGAAATGCAATTGGGAGAAAATTAAAAGAGGTATCCAAACTCTTGTTGGCTTAACCTGGATCCTTGAATCCATTTTGCAGCTCCATCAGAACCAAAGGGGTCAAACTTGCAGAATATACCAAATCACCAATTCCCCATCCCATCCCGAGATTAAACTCCCCAAAAGTCTCTAAAACAATGTTTCTCTCATCCCACTAAAGCAGCTATAAAAAAAAAAAGCTTAACTCTGGATGGATGTCATGAGCTGTTAGGGATGAGCATCTGGAAGTTTTGGTGGGATTTTGAAGGCAGCCTTCGTTCTTGATTAAACCAGCAGAGTTGCAATCTGCTGTGTTTTGTTTTCAATTAATAAGCCGTGCCCGCTAGCATAAATAAAGGGAATTAATTGGAGCTTCTAAGGACAAGAACCACCAGCACGGAGTTAGAAGAAGAAGAAGAAGAAAAAAAAGGCTGGTTTTTCTGCTGATCCAGTTTGAGTCCAAGATTCGGGCATCACCGGGTGAGGTCATAGCCGAAGCCATTTTTATCGTTTTGACAGGCACCTGCGAGTAAGGACACCAAAGGAAACAATGAGGCCTGGGAATTGAAAATACTAGCCTAGAAATGAAATCAAACCAAGCTTTGCTTTGGAGAGGGATTTGATGTACGCCCGGGGCCGTTGCCTGCACCAGAGCTAACATCAACACAACATCAACTGTAGGGAAATGACTCCAAATGCAAATGTTTAATAAAGCCACTCAAAAGCAGTGTCTTCCGAAAGACAACTCATGTTTTGAGGAACCGGAATGAATTTCACCAGCAGGTGAAATGTTTGCCTTCATCTAAGGCAGGGGTCTCCAAACTTGGCAACTTTTCTGCTGGTTGCAGAATTCTGGGAGTTGAAGTCCACAAGTCTTAAAAGTTGCCAAGTTTGGAGACCTCTGATCTAAGGTGAAGTGAGCAATTGGGTAGGACAGATTTAACAGAACAGAATACCAGAGTTGGAAGGGACCTTGTAGGTCATCTAGTCCAACCCTGCCACCCAAGCAGAAAACCCTACACCATTACTGATCATGGTCCAGTCTCTTCTCGAAAGCCTCCAGTGATGAAGCTCCCACAACTTCTGTTCCGTTGGTTGATTGTTCTCACTGTCAGAAAATTTCTCCTTATTTCCAGGTTGAATCTCTCCTTGTTCAGTTTCCATCCATTATTCCTTGTCTGGCCTTCAGGTGCTTTAGAAAATAGCTTGACTCCTTTGTCTCTGCAGCAGCCCCTCAAATATTGACTGCTATCATGTCTCCCCTGGTCTTTCTCTTTACTAGACTAGCCATGCCCAGTTCCTGTAACCGTTCTTCATGTGTTTTAGTCTCCAGTCCCCTAATCATCCTGGTTGCTCTTCTCTGTACTTTTGCTAGAGTCTCAACATCTTTTTTATAATGTGGTGAACAAAACTGGATGCAGTACTCTAGGTGTGGTTTTACTAAGGCTTTATAGAGGGGTATTAGTACCTCCCTTGATCTTGATTGTATCCCTCTGTTAATACAATTTAGGATTGCATTATCTTTTTTGGTGGCTGCTGCACACTGCTGGCTCATATTTAGCTGGTTGTCCACTAAGACTCCAAGATCTCTCTCACAGTTACTGCTACTGAGCCTGGTTTCACCCAGTCTATACTGTGTACTTTTGGTTTTTCTTGCCTAAGTGTAATACTTTACTTTTAGTCTTCTATTAGTAATATAAGTACAGCTGGTCCTCGATTTACAACAGTCTATCTCTCCTAGGATTACTAGCCCTGTGACCAATGGTCAAGCAATGAGAGTCATTGTCTAACATCACCTGAATTATTGTAAGTTCCCATACAAAGCCAAACCAGGAAGTAGATAGGCCCTGAACTTGGGACTGTGTGTTTTTTAAGGCTTGGATTCTCTCACAAAATTGCCAAGCTACAAGGCAACTAATGCAGATTGTCCTCAACTTACGATTACAATTGAGCCCAAAATTTATGTTATTATGTGAGAAATTTGAGTTTTGCTCGATTTTACGACTAACACATTTGTTAAGTGAATCACTGCAGTTGTTAAATTAGTTAACCCGGTCGTTAAGTGAATTGGGTTTCCCCCCAATTTACTTGGCTTGTCAAAAACCAGCCAGACACGCCATAAATGACGTTTATGTGACTACGATCAATATAGATTATAGAGCCATGGTGACGCAGTGGTTAGAATGGAGTACTGCAGGCTATTTCTGCTGACTGCCGGCTGACTGCAATTTGGCAGTTTGAATCTCACCAGCCTCAAGGTTGAATCAGCCTTCCATCCTTCTGAGGTCAGTAAAATGAGGACCCAGACTGTTGGGGACAATAGGCTGACTCTGTAAACCGCCGAGAGAGGGCTGTAAAAGCACAGTGAAGCGGTACATAAGTCTAAGTGCTATGGCTATTGCTATCAATACACGTTGGTTGCCAAGTGACCTAATTCTGATGAAGTAGCCACTGCAATGGTGATAAATCCGAAGGCTGGTGGCCCCTTTTTCCAGCGCCATTGTAACATTGAGCGGTCACTGAACGAACCATTGTAAGTCGAGGACTGTCTGTAACTATTTGTGGGTAGTGTCAATTAAAAAAATACTCCTTTGGTCTTTTAGTTGCCAGCAGAAAGGGAGTGGGGGAAAGCAAATGCCTCAGATAATCGCCCAAAGCTGTTGGGGTGCAAGAATATTACCGGAGAGCATGATTGATGACTCTTGGTTATGGATGTGTCCCATTGGAGAATGTTAGGAATATAAGTCACCTAACAGGTATTTGGGTTAGAAATATATAAACCAGGATAGACATTTTAAAACTGTATCTTTAAGAAAATGCAAGACTGTAGTTGGGTGTGGTTTCTCAAACGGCCATAAGATGGAGCCAGACACCTGGGTTGTTTTAGCCTTAGTTTCAGAGGAAAGTGTGAGTCAGTCAGTGTTTCCTTCTGTTGGAAAGTATTGCCATTACCTCAACAGAGAATATACATCCAGGGGGTGGGGGGGAAGACCAGAGTCAAGGGGGAAATGAAAGATGTATTTTAGTGTCGGCTGCACCTAGCTAATGCCAACATGGCCATTTCTAATATTTTTTTTTTTTTTTTTTTACTCTCAGAGATGCGGCTAGAGACTTATGATTTGAATGGGGATGGATTTGTTGGGAGTCCTGACAGGTAGGACTTTCCGATACTCACAATCTCCCAGTTTCTCTTCAAGGAAAAGGAGCTGCTCGCTGAGGGATTCCACGTGGTCCAAGTAACGGAGGCGATTCCACATCTCCTTGATCTGGGTGGGCTCCACGGAGGTTGGCAAGATAGAGATGGCATGCTCCAGGCGCTGAGGAAAAGGGAGGGGGCCCGAATCGCTGATTAAGAATCTTCTTCGCTTCCCACTTTGTCTCCTTTCCCCGTGGAGAAACCACCGATTTTCAAAACCATTTTAACCAAAAATAAAAGAAAGCAAGCTAGAGCCCCGTTCGCCTGGGGAGACTGGACTCCTGTCATTTCATTGAGAAGCCTTTTGTGTGTGTCTGTAGATATTTATCTATGAAGTAAATGCAAGAATTGTGTTTTTTTAAAAAAAAAATAAAAAAAAATCAGGTGCTATCTGGGCTTGAGAAGCTCCAGGTGGCCTTTGAATTGTTCCTCTTGATTTCCCCCCACCCACACACCTGCAACAGTTATGGAGTAGGTACTTGAGAATACGGTGAATATGGATTTAGAAAGCTGCTGTGGCTTAGGGTGGGTCTAGAACAGAGATGGGCCACTATGGTCCCATGCTGGCTCAGGAATTCTGGGAGTTGAAGTCCACAAGTCCTACAGGGGCCATCTTTTCATACCCCCGCATCTTCCTACTTCTAGCCCCCAACCAGGGGTGAGATTCTACTGGTTCGGACCGGGTCAGGCGAACCGGATGTTAAATTTGCATCTGGTTCGATGAAATGGTATTTGAACCGACTGACTGGCCCTGCCCACCCCACCTCTCCCCTCCCTGGAGTCTCCACGCAGCCCATTTTCGATGCAGGTAAGTGCAGGATTCGCACGGAGGCTCTGGGAAGGGGAAAAAACAGACCTTCCGGAAGGACCAAAAGTCCGGAAACGGGCCTGTTTTTGGATTCCGGAGGGCCTCCAGAGCCTGAGGGAAGCCATTTGCCTTCCCAGAGGCCTGAGGGAAGCCTCCGGACTCTGGGGAAGGCAAAAAATTGGCCCTCCCGGAAGTTCTGGTAGGCCACGCCCAACTTGGCCACACCCAGCCAGCCACTGGGCAAGCGAAACGGTTGCTGGAATTTTTGAATTCCACCCCTGGCCCCAACCCCTTCACCGTAGTAAAGGAGAAATGGCGGGGACTGTTTCCAAGTCCCTCAGAGTCACTTTGGATAGGGAGATGGACGGCATATACGTTTAACAAAGAAAAGAATGAATAAGAGAGACTAGAACAGGGGTATCAAACGGGCGGCCTGTGGGCCGGATCCGCCACACAGGCCACGCTCACCCCAGCTCCACGGGGGGGGGGGGGGGAAGGTCGCAAAATTTCACACGAGGGCAACGTGACATGATGAGTTTGACACACGTGGACTAGAATCTTGCTTCTAGAGTGGTATCTTTCAAGAGAGCTGAGCCTCACCTCTTCCAGCTGCTCCACTTTTGCTTGAAGCTCCTGGATCTCATTGGGAATTGTCTCTTGAATCCCTAAAGTTTGCACTGCAAGAGAAAAAGGAAGAAAATGTGAGTGGAGGAGCTGTACCCAAATGGGTAACAGGTAGACCTCGAGTTACGATTACAACCGAGCCCCCAGATTTCTGTTGTTAAGCGAGACGTTTGTTTAAGTGCGTATGGCCCCATTTTACAACCTTTTTTGGGCCACCATCATTAAGCGAATCATGGCAGTTGATAAAGCTAAGCAATCTGGTTGTTAAGTGAATTGGACTTCCCCATGGACTTTGCTGGTCAGAAAGCTGCAAAAGGGGTTCGCTTGACCTCGGGACAGAGCAATGGTCGTAAGTATGAAGCAGTTACCAAGCACCTGAATTTTGATCACCTAATCACGGGGATGCTGCTAAGGTCGTAACTGTGAAAAATGGCCATAAGTCACTGATTCAGTGCCATTGTAACTTTGAATGGTCACGAAACAAACCAAAGTGTTAGGATTCCGGCAGTTACCCCAATTAAATCATGAGTCTTGAGCCAAACTTCCAAAACTTCAAAAGGATTTATTGGGAGTTAACAAGTCTGGCACTGCCTGGGTGTAAGCGGACTCTGAGACACATCATTCATTGTCACCCTTGACCCTAGTTTTCCCCCACCCCCCTGGGTATATCATAATCCATATTTGCCGATGGAAAACATCCATAGCCGAGAGTCATCAATCGTACTCTCCAGGTAGAATTTTGTGCGGCAGAAACTTCAGTCACCTAGTTACTATCTTTGAAAACTATTTATGGAATGCACTTTCGATATCCAAGCTGCCGCACTGCTCCCACCTCCCTTTCTGTGGCAATTTTTTAAAAAAACCATAAAAATATTTTATGAGTTAACGGTAAGTACCTGTACCAGAGGTGGTATTCAGTAGGTTCTGACAAGTTGTGGAGAACCAGTAGCGGAATATTTGAGTATTGGTAAATATTTCCCCTGCCACACCCACCAAGCCACGGCCACAGTAGTAAAAAAAATTTGAAACCCACCACTGACCTGTAGGCAGGGGTGGGATTCTACCAGTTTGCACCTATTGTCTCGAACCGGTTGTTAACACTCTAAGCAGTTCGGAGAACCGGTTGTTAGAAGAAATTACTGGCCTAATCCTGTAAGGAAGGCAGGAAGGAAACGTTCTGGTGTTGCTTACAGAAACTGCCTCTCCATTAACCCTTATTACATTCTTGGCAGGACTAGACTTCCTGTCTCTGGAATGTCTCTGGAGTTTTTGTCCCCTCCTTTGCTGGTACTTTGCTTGTGTAGAGTGACCATTCAATGTTACAATGGCACTGAAAAAAAGTGACTTATGACCGTTTTTCACACTTACGACTGTTGCAGCACCCCCACAGTCATGAGAGGCCAGGCGAGGAGATGCGTGCCTCGATGATATTGAGTTGGCCATATCCAGCCAATAACATGACCACCAAGCCATGTCCACCCAGTCACATGAGCAAAAAGCCATGCCCACCAACTAAGCCACGCCCACAGAACTGGTTGTTAAAAAATGTGAATCCCACCCTTGCCTGTAGATATCTGTGGATGGTTGACAAATCTTAACCTGTGGGAGCCTGTAGTGCAGGGGTGTCAAATTCAAGGCCCAGAGATCCGATCTGGACGCCTGTGGGGCCACCGTGGAAACAGCAAAGGACTGGCCCACTGTGCCTCTGCCAGCAAAAACGGAGCTTGCAGGAGGCCGTTGCAGCCAAAAACGGAGCTCGGGAACCCGTTTTCGCTGGTAGATGTCACACAAGTGACATTGAGCTGGCCATGCCCATCCTGGCTATGGCCCTGGAGATCAAACACAATCCTGATGTGGCCCTCAATGAAACCCAGTTTGACACCCCTGCTGTCGTGTAATCCCATGTGTGTCTTATCAAATTTCAGTTTCGCTGATCTAGGACGCTCCATTTTCTTGCAAATATATCTAGTAAAATTGCTTTGATTTTTTTTTTTTTTTTTGGCCAAGCAGTTTGATTCCTATCTCATTTTTTTTATGCCCAAGACAGCACCTTCACTTCCTTCTGAGAATCAAAGGTCCCCGGATGGAGAAGGAGACTAGAAACAGACTTAACAAACGACGACGTATATAGACATTTTCAAAAACTTTGTGAAGTCTTAAGGGGCTAGAAACTTGTTTCCCCCAAAATGGAAAGAGGCTCATCAAGTGCAACGCTTAACACCCGGTCAACCTTATTTATGGAGGAGTTGCAAATTGCACAAGCCGAACACTGTCCGGCTGTAAGTGAGAAACCTGCAACCTTGTTGCTGGCGAAGAGCGTTTCCTCTTGCACGGAGAGAAGTTGTGAAACTGAACGCATCACCTTCTCACTGAGTTTCGGCCCTCATGATCTGCACCTCAGCCCAACCAAAGCAGAAGCAGCAGATGCAGGCTGGGCTGTCATAACTACAGATTGACAGATGAACCAAGTTGGAAGGGACCTTGTAGGTCATCTAGTCCAACCCCACCCCAAGCAGGAGATCCTACACCATTTCTGACAGATAGCAGTCCAAACTCTTCTTGAAAGTCTCAAGGGATGAAACTTCCACAACTTCTGAAGGCAAAGCTGTTCCTTTGGTTGATTGTTCTCCCTGTCAGAAAGTTTCTCCTTATTTCCAGGTTGAATCTCTCCTTGTTCAGTTTCCATCCAGTATTCTTTGTCTGGCCTTCGGGTGCTTTAGAAAACAGTTTGACCCCTTCCTCTCTGTGGCAGCCCCTCAAATATTGGAAGACCGCTTATCCTGTCTCCCCTGGTCCTTCTCTTCCCTAGAGTAGCCAAGCCCAGTTCCTGCAACCGTTCGTTGTATGTTTTATCCTCCAGTCCCCTAATCATCCTGGTTGCTCTTCTCTGCACTTTTTCTAGAACTGTTGTGTGCAACTAAAGGACCGTAGACCGGAGTGTTTAAAACAAGAACAAGGTGATGCATTCAGTGTTCTTTGAGGCTCTCTCTTGTGCAGCAGTTTGGCAGTTCTGGGTGCTTCTGTCACTTCCTCCTGTATCAATCAGGAGCTGCTTGTTGAATCCAAAGGCAACTCCCAGCTGTTGGGAGATTTTCTGCTCTGCCGTGAGATGTGGAGCCTCAAAGCCAGTAACTGTGAGAAGGGCCTCGGAGTCCTAGTGGACGATCACTTAAACACGAGCCAGCAGTGTGCGGCAGCAGCCAAAAAGGCTAATACAATCCTTAGTTGTATAAACAGAGGCATAGAATCAAAATCACGTGAAGTATTAGTAACGCTTTGTAAAGCCATACTAAGGTCACATCTGGAATACTGCATCCAATTTGGGTCACCATGTTACAAAAAAAGATGTGGACACTTTGGAAAATGTGCAAAGAAGAGCAACCAAGACGATTAAAGGCCTGGAGTCAAAAACATAGGAAGAACGGTTGCAGGAACTGGGTATGGCCAGTCTAGAGAAAAGAAGGACTAGGGATAACAGATAACAGATAATCAGAGTTGGAAGGGGCCTTGTAGGTCATCTAGTCCAACCCCCCGCCCAAGCGGGAGACCCTACACCATTTCTGACAAATGGCAGTCCAATCTCTTCTTGAATGTCTCAACTGATGGCGCTCCCACAACTTCTGAGGGCAAGCTGTTCCATTGGTTGATTGTTCTCACTGTCAGAAAGTTTCTCCTTATTTCCAGGTTAAATCTCTCCTTGTTCAGTTTCCATCCATTATTCCTTGTCTGGCCTACAGGAGCTTTAGAAAATAGCTTGACTCCTTTGTCTCTGCGGCAGCCCCTCAAATATTGACTGCTATCATGTCTCCCCTGGTCTTTCTCTTTACTAGACTAGCCATGCCCAGTTCCTGTAACTGTTCTTCATGTGTTTTAGTCTCCAGTCCCCTAATCATCCTGGTTGCTCTTCTCTGTACTTTTGCTAGAGTCTCAACATCTTTTTTATAATGTGGTGACCAAAACTGGATGCAGTACTCTAGGTGTGGTCTTACTAAGGCTTTATAGAGTGGTATTAGTACTTCCCTTGATCTTGATTGTATCCCCCTGTTAATGCAATTTAGGATTGCATTAGCTTTTTGGGCGGCGGCTGCACACTGCTGGCTCATATTTAGCTGATTGTCCACTAAGACTCCAAGATCTCTCGCACAATTACTGCTGTTGAGCCTGGTTTCACCCGGTCTATATGTGTGCTTTTGGTTTTTCTTGCCTAAGTGTAGGACTTTACTTTTCTCTACATTGAATTTCATTTTGTTAGATATGGCCCAGTGTTCTAGTCTGTCAAGATCCATCTGGATCTTGAGCCTATCTTCTTGGGTGTTAGCTATTCCTGCCAGCTTAGTATCATTTGCAAATTTGGTAAGTTCCCCTTCTATTCCCTCATCTAAGTCGTTAATGAAGATATTGAAGAGTACTGGGCCGAAGACGGAACCTTGTGGCACCCCACTGCTTACTTCCCTCCATGTAGATTTAGACCCATTAAGGACTTGTTGAGTACGGTTTGCCAGCCAGTTGCAAGTCCATCTACTGGTGGTGCTATCTATTCCACTTTTTTCTAGCTTACTAAGAAGTAGGTTGTGGTCTACTTTGTCGAATGCCTTGCTGAAATTTAAATATACTGTGTCCGCTGGTCTACTAATTTAGTCACTATGTTGAAGAATGAAATAAGGATTGGTTTGGCATGATCTGTTCTTAACAAACCCATGCTGACTGCTAGTTATTATTTTACTTGTTTCTAGATGTTGGCAGATCTGGTTTTTTATTATCTTTTCCAGTATCTTCCCGGGTATTGATGTTAGGCTTATTGGTGTATAGTTTCCTGGGTCTGTTTTTTTCCCCCTTTTTTGAAGATGGGAACCACATCTGCTCTTTTCCAGTCCTCTGGTAGATCCCCGGTGCTCCAGGATTTTTGAAAGATATGGTGCAGTGGTTCTGCGATAACCTCTGCCAGCTCCTTTAAAACTCTGAGATGTAATCCATCAGGCCCCAGTTATTTGTTTTCATCAAGACCAGACAGGTGTTCTCTTATTTTATTTTATTTTGCTTATTTTAACTTTCATTTCTGGTCTGTCTCTTACAGTTATGTTTTTGGTGGGTTGAGCTATAGTTTCTTTTTGCGTGAAGACGGATGCAAAGAATGAGTTAAGCAGTTCTGCTTTCTCTCTGTTGCCTGTTACTTCCTTGCCATCTTCTCTTTTTAGTGGACTGACTGTTTCCTTGAGTTTTTTCTTGCTATTTATATGTCGGAAGAAACTTTTTTTATTATTATCTTTGACTTTCGTTGCAAGTCTTTGTTCGTTCTGAGCCTTTGCTATCCTGGCTTCGTCTTGGCAGATTCTGGCTATCTGCTGATATTCTGCCTTAGTTGTATGTCCTTCTTTCCTTTCCTTTCCATAGGGGGGACAGGATAGCAGCGTTCCAGCATTTGAGGGGCTGCCGCAAAGAGGAGGGGACAATCTATTCTCCAAAGCACCAGAGGGGCAGGAGAAGAAACCATGGATGGAAACTAATCAAGGAGAGAAGCAACCTGGAATTCAGGAGGAACTTCCTAACAGGGAGGACAATTAACCAGTGGAACAGCTTTGCCTTCAGAAGTTGTGGCTGCTTCATCATCACTGGAGGATTTTAAGAAGTGATTGGACGTGGTATAGGGTTTCCTGCTTGGGCTAGAAGATCTCCAAGGGCCCTTCCAGCTCTACTCTGATTCTACTTCTGCTTGCTGAGTTCAAAGGAAGGCCCCAGCTGTTGGGTGCGGTTCTGCTCTGCCGTGAGATGAGGATGTGAAAGTTGGCAGAAAGATGAAACAGACACAGCCAGGCCACTGTCAGGAGCTTCAGGGCTTCACTAACTCTTAAGCCATGCAGAAAAGGGATGTCAAAATACATCCCCAAGGTCAACAGAATAACCGAATAACAGTTGGAAGGGACCGAGTGGGTCTTCTGGTCCAGGGGTCGCCAACCTTTTGGACTTCAGGGATCATCAAACTCATAATTTTAAATCCTAGGGACCACTAATATGAATTCTGACTGATGGTGGCTTGCTGATGTTGGTGGGAGAGAGAGAGAGAGAGAG